CTACCGCGGACTTCCCCCTACGCCCTCCGCTCACACGGACCTCTTCTGGCCCCCTCCAGTCCGGTCCGTCATCTCCCCATGGCCGACGGTGYGTCACACGCCGTCGACACGATGATGACCACGGCATCGGGCTCCACACCCGTGCCGGCAGACCAGGGCCATCAGCCCCAAGGGGATCTTCACACCCTCCTCACCTCCCTCCTTGCGCCCATCCAGGCGCAACTCGCGACCCTTGCGCCCATCCAGGCGCAACTTGCGACCCTCGCGCCCTTACAGGCGCAGGTGGCGACCCTTGCCGCCGGCGTGCAGCAACTCCAGGATGCTGTGTGTCCTCCATCTCCTAGCTCCCAGTCTGGGTCCCTCGTCCTCCGACAGGGTGGCCACGACGGAGCTTCCTCCTCCGCCGCCCCCGACCCGGCCATCTTGGTGACTGTCCACGCCCCTAGCATGACGGCCGCCACGAGCCAGGCCCCCCCTCAGTCTACGGGCGCACCCGCCTAGATCCCGGTCACTACGGCCACGGTACAACAACCCGCTACCATGGTCTCAGTTTTTCTGGGTGCCCTACTTCTTCCCCCTCTTCGCACGACCGCAGCGCCATCCGGCTCTCCCCCTTGTGGGATGCCTCATGTCGCTCGTGCGTCTCCCCCTGCCACACCTCGCTCGACCTACGTTCGAGGTCTCGAGGACGAGATCGCCCGGCTGCAGACCGACCTCGCCCTCTCACGCCTTCAGCCACCCCCACCCTCACAGGTGGCCGCGCCTTCCGGCGCACCCTCTTCTTCCTCTATTCTTCCTTCCATCTAGGCTCGCTTCCCTCGCCCTGCACCCTACTCATCCCCATCTTACCTCCTCCTCATCCCCTCGGTTGTTGCGACCTCGTCTACCGCAACTCCTGTGCAGCCTGCCGCTGTTTCCCCCGCTGCTCCACCATGCGGCCCGGGCGTACAGTCAGTTGCGCCCCCTCCTCCAGGACCTGCGCCGACTTATTCAGCCGTAGCGAAGTTCCCTGCTCCTCGATCCCCTCGCTGCCAAAACGGTGGCGCACCACTCATCCGCTTGTCGGACATTGCCTTATATGACGGTACAGGCATACGCGTGCCTAGGTGGCTGCAGTCTGCCACCCGCACGCTCCAGCTCATGGGTGCCACACCCGACACGTGGGTGGGTTACCTTTCCTCGCGCCTGCGTGGCGGTCCTTCCGAGGCCTGGAAGGATTTCTACGCGCACTCCCTTCGAGCGGGTCGGACTCCGACCTTCATGGATTTTCAGGCGTTCCTCGAGGATCGCTTCGGAGCCCGACACGATGTGACTGACGCCTCATTTGTGACATAGCGTTCTTCCCCGAGGCAGCCCTTATCGATCGGTTCTTGGCCAACCGTCCGCTCGAGTACCGCTCCGAGCTATGGCGGTACGAGTTCACATCGGCCCCGCAGGCTTATGAGGCCACCAGGGACCATCAGCGGATGCGGGCCCGTCTTCACCCCGCCTCCGCCTCCCAGCCACAGCGTACTGGTTACGCCTCATCCTCCTCTCACGGCACTTCCCATCGCCGTTCCCCTTTCCGCGGTCGCCCCCGCCGTCCCGCGCAGCAGGGCCGCCACATCTCGCGCCGCTTCAGCGCGCTTGAGTATGGTGAGCAGGACGCTGGTGCCCCGCTGTCGCCAGAGGGTGATCATAGCGATGACCTCGACCTCGGCGATGCTATCCAGCACCATCTGGAGGACCCTACTCTCCCTATGGCTGAGTGCCTCCAGCTTATCGTCTCCACCCTTTCCCGGGCACGCAGCCGCCCTGGTCACGCTGGTGCGTCGCCCCCCGAGGTCCCTCAACAGGACCTCCCTCAGGGCTTTGTTCCTTCTCGCGGTGTCCTTTCCGCTGAGGAGCGCGCAGCTATTATGGGTCGACGTGGGTGTTTGCGATGCCGTCAAGGCGATCATACCTCCTCGCGGTGCCCTTACACCACCGCCCTTGACCGCCACTACGCCGACCTTTCCCGCCAGCGTCGTGCTCAGTCCCGCCCCGGCGCCTCGCATCCCCGCGGCGCCTCCTAGCCACGGTGCAGTGTACACCTGCGCCCTCCTAAGTAGTGGGCTTCTCGACATCTCCGTCGCGGTTCGCCCCTCTCGCTGGACTCGACAGAGTGTATTCAGCCCTCTGTCGTAGTACGTTTGCGCCTCCGCAGACCACCGTCTCCCCTCCTTCCCCGCCGCGACTACCGACGCGTCGAGCCATTCGCTCAGCCCGTTGCAGCGAGCAGCTCGCTACTCGCGAGGACGTTGTGTCCTCTCTTCTGGACTTGAGCATGCTCCAGGCTCGTCAGGAGCGACTCACCCTCCATGTCGCTGCACTGCGTCGCCTTCTCGCCATCCTCTCTGACCCTGATCGCACCCTCCCGATCATCCCCGTACGATTGGGGACCTCCACGAGGGTGTACTCAGCGATGTGGGATTCCGGTTCTCAGCGCGACTTCATTCACCCACGCGTGGTGAAAGAAGCCCGCTTACCCACGACAGGGTCTCCGACTCCCATCTCCGTTACCCTAGGGGATGACAAGACCCAGCGCTTCTTCGATCAGACGGTCAACGACCTTCCTTTCTTCCTCACTCTCGAGCCGACTGATTGTTCCCCGGCATCTCGTCGCCACCGCTCCTCTGCACATTTCGATGTGATGGAGACGGGGTACGACTTCATTCTCGGCACTCCGTGGTCT